CGTAACCCCGACGTTTCTGGCACCACCTTATGTGTTTACACTTCGTGCACTCGTTTCAATACGCTTCCTGCGTACTGCACACCAATGCAAGTGTCGGCTGCTCTGCCATTGCCCACGCTTGATGGAGAACGTTTCGGAGCATTCTGGATGACAAGGCCTCAAGGTCCAGATTTCGATTCCCAGCCCTCACGCGCTGGATACAGGGATCGATCCCCAGCGTGCCGTAGACATCCGCGGGGCCTCCAAGGACTGAGTTGTCCACCCGAGGGGCTCGGCTTCAAACCATGTCCTTCTAGCGGGGTGCCACTGGAAAGTCGCGTGGGCACTGCCGAACGCCGCAGTGACGTTGGACGATTCCGCGGACACCACTCGGATATATCCATTAAAGATGGCACAAGGGTCAATAATGACAACCTTGCGGCAGAATGCCCTAAGCAGCTTCACACATTTTACGATGGGGGGCCACGATGGGCCAGCGAGTTCGGGGGCCCAGCACTCCTGACGGGGCGTCCGAATAATGACCCTTGCAGACAAGTTGTTTCGGGAACCTCCGTAGGTTCGGAGGGACATCCTCATTTTGTCCCAACATCCTCATTTTGTCCCGATCGTCCTGTGGTGTTGGGCCCTCGTTTTGAAGAGACGGTCCCCGCGTTCACTCCTCATCCTCCCGTTGCCCCCTCTCCTCCTCCTCCTCCTCCTCCTCCTCCTCCTCCTCCTCCTCCTCCTCCTCCTCCTCCTCCTCCTCCTCCTCCTCCTCCTCCTCCTCCTCTCATCGTCGTCATCATCATCATCAGCATCATCATCATCATCGTCACCATCCGTTTCAGCACACCCCTCACACGTTTCGTGACCCAATCGGGAACTCCACCGAATGCCCAAATGCCAGCGTTCGCATGCGCCTACCGCGCCCATTTTGGCACACCCCTCAAACGTTTCGGCGCTCCATGGGGAGCCCCACCGAAGGACTAAGTGCCAGCCTTCGCATGCGCCCGCCGCCCCCATTTAGGCACACCCCTCATTGTTTCGTGGCCCCACAGGGGGCCCGACCGAAGGCACACATGCCAGCGTTCGCATGCGCCCACCACACCCATTTTGGCACACCCTTCGCACGTTCCGTGGACCCGTAGGGAGCCCCACCGAAAGCCCAAATGCCCGCGCTCGCATGCTCCCACCGCACGCGTTTTGGCACACCCTCTCACGTTTCGGGGCCCATAGGGAGCCCCACCGAAAGTCCAAATGCCAGCGTTCGCATGCGCCCACTGCACCCACGTTGGCACACCCCTCACACGTTTCGTGGACCCATAGGGAGCCCCACCGAAGGCCCACACGCCCGCGCTCGCATGCTCCCACCGCACGCGTTTTGGCACACCCTCTCACGTTTCGGGGCCCAATAGGGAGCCCCACCGAAGGTCCAAATGCCAGCGTTCGCACGAGCCCACCGCACCCACGTTGGCACAAGCTATCACATGCGCCCACCGCGCTCATTTTGGCACACCCCTCACACGCTCCGTGGCTCCATAGGGAGCCCCGCCGAAGGATCAAATGTCAGCGTTCGCACGTTCCCATCGCATCCATTTTGGCACACCCCTCACACGTCTGGAGGCCCCACAGGGAGCCCCACCGAAGGCCTAAATGCCACCATTCGCAGGAGCCCACCGCGCCCGTTTTGGCATACCGTTCACGCGTGTCGTGGCACATCCGTCTGAACAGCGCAAGCAGTCAAGGGTAATTGAACGATTGTGGATTGTCAGGGCGCGACAGTCACGTTGGTTCGCGGTGCTAGCGTCCCAGAATTGGCATTCTGGCGCGATTGGGGGTCGCCAGGTCGCAACAGTGACGTGAATACGCAGCGTGAAATCCCAGGAACGGCTGAAGAATTTCAAACGGTTGGCTTCCAACAGGACCTTCCCGTAGTGTGAACATATTCCTTCGTAGGAGCAGGTGAAGAGGGATTTTCGAGAGAGGGTTTACTGCAACATCGTTGGTGGGTCTTGGGTTTACTCTGGTCCTCCTCCTTGTCCTCCTCATTCCCCTTTCCTTACCAGATTCTTCCATAGGCCCTTCTCAACCGTCGAACTATCTCCGCCCATCGTCCTTCCCTCCTCTCCCTCCTCCCCATGCCCATCCGTCTCTTCCTTTGTCCCCTCTTCCATCCCACTCCTCACAACTGCGCGATCTGAGTGCTAGTTTCCTCTATTCTCTGAATGTTAGTTTCTCCTATTTCGCGTTTTGCATCCTTACATTCAGGATTTCACAAGGTAACGACCCCAGTGCTTGTTCTGGTCGGACCGTTCTCGGTCCTTCAAGAGTAGGGCTTCGGACATAGCGTCGGCGCGTTGCTCCCGTCGTTTAGAACGGTGCTCCCGCCCGAGCGCGGGCCACACTTCTGCATCCGATACGTTTCTCGTCATTGCCGACCGCTCTATTCCCCTCCTCCGCTCCGCTGGTCCTCCTGAACCTTGTGATCCTCCTGTTCTTGCTCCCCAGCTTCTTCTGTCTGGCCCTCCACCCTCATCCTCCGCCGCGTCCTGCCTTGCTATCGGGGCATCAAGGTCCTCTAGGACACCCCCGCCAGCGCATGCAAATGTGTTCGGCGCAATGAGTGGGGGCGCGCAGGAGGGGTAGGACGTCAGGTGTGGCGCGACCGAAGCCAGCTTGTGTGTTCCCCCTGTCTTCTCTTCGCCCCTTCCTACCCCGTCCTCCTCCTCCTTTTTCTCCGCCTCCTCCTCCTCCGTCTCATCATCATCATCATCATCATCATCATCATCATCATCATCATCATCATCATCATCATCGTCATCGTCATCGTCATCGTCATCGTCATCGTCATCATCATCATCATCATCATCATCATCATCATCATCATCATCATCATCATCGTCATCGTCATCGTCATCGTCATCGTCATCGTCATCATCATACTCATCATCATCATCAGCATCATCATCATCATCATCATCATCATCGTCATCGTCATCGTCGTCATCATCATCATCATCATCATCATCATCATCATCATCATCATTTCTCTCCTCCGCTGCCTCCCGCTCATCCTCATCTTCCTCACTCCCCTTGCTAGCGACTTGCACAGTTGCGGCCACACATTCCAGCCGTCCCCAGCGAAGTCGAGGCAGTCGTGCTCACCAAGCCCGTTGTCTGCCAAGGGATTCGCTCTGCGTCCTCCCCCCCTCTTCCCGTCTCCTGCAAACCCTCCTCGCCTCCAGGTTACGTGACCTGGGTCACTTGTGTGCTGCTCGACTGCTCAGACAGCTCCTGATCGAGTACCTGTCACAAGTGTTGTTGCAACACGTCGGGGGGCAACTCAGGAACCTTGGCAAGAAGTTTGATCCCACAGGGATTTCACACAGCACTCCGTGGAAGAACTTGACTAAGGGGCTCCATGCAAAGATGCTTGGGGCTTCGGTCGACCTCAAAACATTCTGTCACCTCTGAGGTGTGTAGCCGTGCTTGCCTAGTGTGCGGCGCACCTGTCTGTGTCTTTCTGTTCTCTGCGCAGCACGAATCGAACGCTTGAGACCAGGAGGTTTTTCCCCTTGGGGGTTTCGCCCTCCCCCTTGGGTGTACGTG